CGGCACCGTTTCAAAAGTACCAGTTTGGCACCGGTATCGGATAAAACCTAAACGATACCCATCCCTAATCCCAAAAGGTTGATTGTTCATCTGAATGTTTCTCACACTAAAAACGTTACGTCCAGATGAACAGTTAACCTTTTGGGATTTTTGTTGTGCGTTTCCTGTAGCGCGTGGGTAACATGTGTGTCTCCGTCACCTCTGCGCTCCACTGTCCTGATGCACTTCTCCACAAACTTGGGGATGGTGCTGTGTTCTCGGTGGCACAGAGTGTCCAGGTGGCAGCCAAAGACGTTGTCTGGAAGACATTTCCAGTCTGATCAACGAGCTGCATGTTTCTGTGTCATCAGGCTTAGCATCATTTTACAGTTTTCATATCGTCTACATCATGATTCACTCTTGATAAACTCATATTCGGATGCATTACTGTTTTATTATGTTTTTCTGTTCATCTCTGGATCTTGTATTTACCCGTGCGCTGTGCACATGTTGATGTAAATGGATTAACTCAGCTGCTAATTTCACTCATTAAACTAACACCAAATGAATATACAGGTGAGTCTGTTGTTGTAGTGAGTTAGCTTTGGATCACTGAGCGGGTTCATGCAGGTAAACATCTGATAGAAAAGTCGATGATATTCACAGTTTGTAGCATTTAAAGGTCGGTGCATGTGATCGGGAGGCCTTTTTACCTCTGATGTATCCTCGCTCTTTGACGCTCTGCAGAGTCGGCCTTCGCTGCAGGAAGCGTCGCAGTTTGGACCGAACTCGCGTCTGCTCCGTGTCAGCTCCTGATGGGATCCTGCTCGCTGAAGATGCAGCAGAAGAAGAAAGCGTTCAGTGTTACTATGACAACCACTGTGCAATACCTGCCAATAAAACGTTCTTATTAATAAACTTATTCCATCACTCTGTGGGTCATTTTGAAAAGACATCAGAAACACCAGCTGGTAACATGTTTCAGCTCAGGGCCATCCTGTGCTCCTTTCCTGAGCTATTAATGCTTCAGACCTTCATCAGGCCGAGTCTGCACAGATGTTGGAGATGGTTAAAGTTCAAAGACTCACATATCGATCTCCTGTCTTTGTCCTCTTTGTCTGAAGAACCATCGTCTTCACTGTCTGATAGGTGCTCCTGGTCCTGAAAACAGACTTCACTGTAAGCCAGTTCGCTCTGAAACAAAGAGCCTGAACGAGGCACGAGGCTTCGAAGGATTACCGGTCTGTGTGCTCCGTCTGGCACCAGCTGTCCGATGGTGTCCTGGATCACTTTTAGCCAGTCGCTGATGATGCTCTCCTTGTCGTACTGCATCAGATACTCGCAGCCCTGACGTGTCTTCAGCTGCACACAAACACTACAGTGGTCTTCATCAAGCAGGTAAGAAGGGAAGCTGATGTAACTGGGGTAAAACGTACCTCCAGAACGTTCTTCTTGGATGACTTGTCTTTGCAGGCCCAGCTCACCGAAGCTCCTCTGAGTTCAACGGTGTATTCTGGAACAATCTGTGACGCTTTGCTCTGAGGGAAAACAAGTCATCATCATCCTCCTCCTCATCGCCGTCATAATTATAAGTTATAATAAGTTATATAGTTATGTGGTTCGTGTATTTTGACTTTTGTTGCCATGATGCCAGGTCTCTCTTGGAAATGAGATTTTTAATCTCAATGAGATTTTTTTCACCTGGATAAGGACTAATAATAAAAATAATCATCATCCTCATCCTTCTCATCATCATCATCCCCATCATCATCATCATCCTCATTCTCCTCCTCCTCATCGCCGCCGTCATAATCATCATCTTCATCATAACCTCCCCCCTAATGTTCGTTCCTCCGAGTCCACCCAGTCTTTTAAATTGCGTCTTAAAACTTTAGTCTGGCTTTTGATTCAAACTACTTTGTTACTTCGTGGCTAGTTTTTGTTTCAAACAGTTGTCATATTGTTTCCTTTTAACGCTTTCTTTTCATTCCTTCTTGTGCTTTTGCTCTGACCGACTCTGAAGCACTTTGGTCAACTTTGTTGTATTTTTATTTGCAATAGAAATAAAGTTGATTTTTGATTTTTTTTATTACCTTCCTCCTCCTCATCATCACCATAGTTTAATAGCACAATAGGATCAATGATTCATGGATGGAAATCTAAAGTTTCTATATCGTAGCCATTTATTAATGCTGGCGGTATTGTTTGTGTTTAATAACTCACTGAATTCCTTCTCACAAGTTAGTTTTTCTCTGTTTGCCTTGTTCATTTATTAGATCAATCTAAGTCTTCCACATATGAAATCCAAACATTTCTCAGGTATTTAGTCCTGAGAAATGTTATTACTACAGAGAGTAGAAAACACAAGTAATGGTTCGAGGCAGAAGGTGCATTGAGCTCCTGTTGGACTATGTAAACTGATTCTTACAGCATTCCCGGCTGGTCGGGGGTCTTTATGGAATGTGAGGATCCCTCCATGCAGGACGGTCCACGACTGGCTCCAGTTCTTCCTGTCCAAAAATCAGCAGACACAGTTACCTCCGACAAAACCCACAGAACAGATACGAGCACACACCTTACCTTTACAATTGTTCTGCTCTCACCTGATCTTTTTTCCATTTTCAGCCACTTTAGTCTTGTTGAGAATCCCTGCTTTCTCCAGCAGGTGTCCCTGTAGGAATGCAGACACACAGCTGAGTACTCAGGTTACCTGCTTTGAAATGTGACTCCTCTGCAAACACGGGAGTGGTGAGGGTCTAATGAAAGGCCTTTTATCAGCCTATCTCATTTCATCCATCAGTCTGATCAGTGCTGGAAACATTTTTAAATACCTGAAAATCTTTCCAGGAACCAAACTCAAGGATTTATGCGATTATTCAAGGACACCTAAAACATTCTCGGCGGACAGAGGACCTCACGGACACAAACAAGGCCTCGAGAGACCTCTTTGCATACCTAATTAAAACATGACTGAACTTTTCATCTGACAAAGGAGGAGTTTGCTTTCAGGAAACACAGGAGGGACTTTACTACCACGTGAACCAAAGCTTCTCCACAGCTGCCATTTTCACAATCCAGTGTGTTACTCATGCATTAATCAAGGTTGAGCCTTGAAACTCCCACTGCCCTCGTGCTGCTGATGCTCTCCTCTCTGCGAGGCGGTCAGCTGATGCAGCACACCTGTACCTTCAACTTGATAAAAGCTGGCCCAGGTGTGGTGCCTTTTATTCATTCAGCAGAACTTACTGTGAGTTTGTTTTTAATCAATTCTACTTCATGTAATGTTGTCATGCACACACTTCTTGTTGTTTAGCTTGAGGCAGTAACACATGGAGTGGTGTCTGGGAGGGTAAACTCCTTTGGTAAGCTTACCGCTTGAGTCATAGTTAATGGCCAGCTTGCTTTGAAGTCTGCAACTATTAAACTTAGCGTTTGTTGATTTTAGCATTGGGTCCAAGATTTCTGGGAGTGTCACGCAAGACGGTGCTTGGTTTTGGTCCTTGGCTCGTCATCAGAGACGATCTGCACATCTGCACATGGGGCGTTCACGGACACTGGGATGCACACAGCAGCATCTTCTTTTCATCTGCTCTCAGTTTTTATGTCTTAAACCATTTTCCTCATGAACTCTGGACAATGTGCACATGTTTCCTTTGCAGGTGGTTTCCTGTTTTATTTGTTGGTGCTCCTTTGAACGTTGCACAGAGTGAGTGAAGCAGCAGGTCAAAGACCAGCTACGTTCGTGTATAGAATCAGGCCAGGAATGTCTGCTGAGGCTACAGGAGAAGTAGGAGGACCACCAAAGTGTGGTGTGAACCTGTGGACAAAGTCTGATTCCGTGTGCACACCAGCCTCCAGTGTGGACACAGTCAGAGATGCTGGAGTTACCAGAACTAACAGCAGGGCTATAGAAAGAGACCAATCAGACCCTCAGAGCTGTTAATGTGTGATGGATCGGTGTTATTGAGCGATTTAAGGGTTAGTGGAGAAACACTGAGCAACTTTCTGGGCAAATTCAGCCTTACAGTAAAAATCTAAACACATTTGAACTTCATGGTGTCAGGAAAAATCTTTCTAAATGTTTAACACGTAATACTGAGGAAGCACAGCAGGTGGCGCTGTCAGTCTGAACTGCCCAAAAAGTTCCCGTCAGGCAGTGGTTAGTAAGATGTTAATGTGATGAGTTAGTGGAACCACATCTGCTGGAAACCTTCACTAATCTTTCCAACAGCCAATCAGGTGCCAAGACCTACATGCTGTGAGCTGGACCCTGTGCTCTGATTGGACAGATTCCTCTTCAGTCTGCACCTATTAGAGAGCTTGATGGGGGAGAACAGGATGACATCAGATCGACAAATGAACGAATGGATGAGCGGGAACGAGCGAGTCAATGCGAATGAATGGAGCCGTGATAGTGACACAGGTAAGTGTCTACCTGTGGACTGTCGGGGGAGGCGTGTCTGCTTATCATGTCAGTGTGATCGGAGAAGTTCCTCCGGTGGCCATGGGAACACGTCTGAAACCCAGAAACCAGTTAAAGTCTGTGTGACGCAGGCCTAAAAAGGTTGTTGCTGTACCGTAAAGTTTTCACTCACGTCTTCTCCCATGCTGACTCTCAGCTTCCTGGCCTGCAGCGATGCTCCGTCCTCACAAACTCCATTTCCCATCAGACTTTGGGGCACTGAGGGAATCTGTAACAGTCAGCAAACCAATGGATTAATGCAAATAAAAAGCAGACACACAGATGGCGCTGACCAACTGATTACCTGAGGATCCTTCAGGTCCAGGTGAGCTCTGGGTATCAGGCCCAAGCTCTGCTGAGGATGCTGTGGAGAGAAAAAGGCACAAATATGGGAGAATATTCGGAACAATCCAAGGACTGTCATTGATGGGTGGCAATGAACCGTGTGCTCAGTCTGTGTGTGTGGTACCGTTCTAAAGTTGGCGTTGTTGTCTTTATGGTCGCCTACAGGATAGTCTTCCTCTGGCAGGGGAGGCTTTCAGTAATCAGAGTAAGAGGAGTCATTGGAGGAAGTTCACCATTTTAATCAAACAACCCTGAATCCTCATTAACACAAAGACCACCTGTTCACTAAGCATCACCTGATACAGCTGATAAAATATCAGATGGATTTCAGTTTTTCAGTTGTTGAAGTGACATTTTGACATATTTCACAATTTAAAAAATGACTAAGTTTGTTGTTCTAGTTTCTGTTCTGACTTTGAACCTGGTCATCGTTTTAAACTGGGTCGTACCGGGCCGCCCTCGTGCTTCCTGTGGGTTGCAGATCCAGGTGGGGGTGACGGGGAGGATGGCTCAGGTAAATTCCAGGATGTGGTTCGTGTGCTGCGGTTGAAGTAGTAAGGTCTCCCTGAGACTTCATCAAACACCTTCTCCCAGCCACCAGAGCCCTGACGGGAAGCATGACGACATCACTTTGAGGACCTGATAATGGACTGGGGGGTTATGAAGGCAGTGATTCAAACCTGAGAGGAGGCGGGGGAGATGGAGGTCAGCTGACCCCCTTCTTTTCCCTTGGACCGGTCCAGGTCTCTAACCGGCACGGGTGGAGGATTGCGAGAGTTGTTCATGTGGTTGGTTCCAGGCTGCCTCCCGCTGTCCTGCTCAGTGTGGCCCTGCACAGAGGTCAGCACAGCAGGACTGAGTACACTCACATGCAGGACCTTCCTTATTCACTGGAAGTTGTACATGAGGAAGTCTGCTTTGGTTCTGTCATCAGATTTGTTGTTGTCACTGCATTTATACTTCCTGCTTTCCTCCTTCACACTCTTACATGTTCTGTGTTGTACTCTGATCTTCATTGTAATCACATTTTTGTATTTTTAATGAAATTGTACATTTTTCCTGCTTTACTTTATTCCTCTGCTAAACTTACAAATCCTTCATTTCAAGTCAAGTCAAGTCAAGTTGGCTTTATTGTCACTTCAACCATATACAGTTTAACAGTACACAGTGAGGCGAAACAACGTTCCTCCAGGACCAAGGTGCTACATGCAACATAAATTTACAACATAAATTAACAGAAAACACTAAACTAGCTGACTAAGAGGCCTAGTTAGCTGGCTAGCAGAGACCAGACAGACTGACCTAACATAAATTACAACTAGAAAAATTTGCATTTCCTGCGAAAATGCTGTGTGGATGCCTTAACGCGTAAGATGTCTGCTGAAAAAAGCTGAAAAGGTTAAAAAATTGCAAAAAGTTGTATGGCGGTGAAGAAATTGAAACTTTTGCAGAAAACAGATGAAGAAGCAGAAATTTTTTGCTGAAAAGTGGTGAAAAGCAAAAAATTCTACTGAAAGGGGTAAAGACGGAGAAATCTTTGCTGAAAAGTGGTGGAAAAAAAAAATTGCCCTGAGCAGGATTCAAACCTGGCCCTCCTGGTCTCAAGGTAGCCACTTGTTTCACTGAGCCAAACTCATTCTCACAAGGAGAGGTGGAGAGACTGACAATTCTGCTGAAATGAGCAGAAGCTGCTGAGATTTGTGCTGATAAGAGGTGAAAAGGCTGAAAATTTTGCTGAAAAGAGTTGAATGAGCAGAATTTCTGCTGAAAAGAGTTCAAAAAGTTTAATTGTTAACCGAAAGAAATGTTGCCACAAGCGGGATTTGAACCCGGGCCTCCTACTCTGAGAACGGCTGCTTATCTCACTGAGCTAAAACATGGCTCAGCCCAGCAAGCAAAACTGGTGACCACACTGATAATGTGGTCCTATTCAGCAAAATGGGCCAAAAAATGACATAAAAAGCTTAATATCTGAAAAAGTATAAAGGTTATGAGCACCAAAAGTCATAGCAGGCATCAGCAGAAAGAGCAGAACAGTTTAGAGTTTGAACGGTGAAAAACAGCTGAAAACTGAGGGAGTAGTTAAGCGGCAAAGAAAGTGGCAACTTGAAGAATAATAAAGGACAAAGAATAAAGAAACAGGAACTCAATAGTGTGGATGCCTATTAACAAAAACTAACTATCTAAGGAAGCCTTTTTTTTTGTTAACAGACAGCAGACAACAAAGTGCACGTGCAAATGTGCAAACAAGAGCAGCAAAGTGACAGTGTGACAAAAAAACACAACGTAACATAATAATAAGATTTTGTGATGATGAGTTGAGGCAGTGGAGGAACAGTAAACATTCCTTAGTGTAGCAGCAGAAATGAGGAAGTAAAGAAGTCAGTGCAGAAAGTCCAGTAATAATATTGTGCAAAAGAGCATTTACAGGTTGGTGTATACGATGGTTTGGTGGTGTAGGTCAGTGTGTTTGCGCTTGTGTTAATTAGTCAGTCCAGTCTCAATGTTTTGAGGTAGTTGAGTTAAGCTGAGTGATAATGTTTGTGTGTGCGCGTGCGTGTGTGTGTTTATCAGTCCATTTGTTTATAGATTTAATTTTATATACAGTTCTTTGGGTGTAATTCCTACCCTTTGGTTTATTTATTCCACTGTTTAATATTACTTATACAAACTTTAAGTAGTTCGTGCTCTGTACAATGATGATCAGGCCTGTCTTCTGCTGTTTGCACAGAAGTTAAAACTTGTCTGTGGCTGTGGACCAAATTCACTAATCCAGCGGTCCCCAACCGTGTTTTGCCCCTCGGACAGTTTAATGTCAGACAATATTTTCATGGACCGGCCTTTAAGGTGTTGCGGATAAATACAGCAAAATAAAAGGATACGACCAAGACAAAAACTGGTATTTTGTAAATATAATAATAAACGTGAATTCACTGTGTGATTGTGTAACTTTATTAGCAGCGTCCTCCTGAAATGCACCAACAACAGAGTAACATCCTCTCTGCCCCTTAATGCTCTCTGGTCACTATGGTAACGTGTAAATATTTTTTTTCAAAATAAGACGCACAACTACAACACGGGGAAGACCCAGGCAAACAGAGTTAACGATAAAATATGGTAAATGGCCTGTTTTTGTATAGCGCTTTACTAGTCCCTAACGACCCCAAAGCGCTTTACACATCCAGTCATCCACACATTCACACACACATTCATACATTCATACACTGAAAGCCATAAATTTCACACCCAAGTCTACGCTCTCATGGTCCGGTAGCGGGCCGTGGCCCGGGGGTCGGGACCGCTGCACTAATTCACAGAAAAATACTGACGACATAAAATATATAAAACCTCTTAGACTCATATGTGACACCTGAAACAATCCCATCAGGCTACAGTGAGTGTTGGCTACAGACATGAGAGAAAGGGGCACAGGGCTGCTCAACCAGTAAGACAAACTGGTGTCCAGTAACTGGTCACCGGATCCCGGTGGAACAGACCCCACATGCTCATATTACAGCTGATAAAACTTTAAGTACCTCTGAGCTGCACACAGCGGTGAGTTTGGAGTGGAACACAATGGGAGGTCAGAGTGACGATGGCAGAGAAACGAGCCATTCGTACAAATGTCCTCCAGATACGCTTTGTTTGTAACGCTGCCATCACTAAACTTTGTCGACCACTTACATTGGTGTGTAATCTGTCACTACAGCATGATGAAGCGCACCACCTCAGCTGTGCATCATCAGCCTTCAGCCCTTCTTCTGTCTGGACCGTCGTCTCCTGTCACGTCACTCCCAGCAATCATCGTTTTAGGAAACGAGCGTACACATCATCTACGTCTCGCTCAAAATGGATTTTTCTGATTTCGTCCGATTCTGAAATCTTAGATTTCTGCTCTTGCTAAGTGTGTTTAATGCTAGCTTAGCTGAGCTTTTATGTGTTATCCAGTGGTGCTCTTTTAATGCCGCCGTGGTGTCTGACCTGTCGTTTACCTTCGAGTTCATTTAGATTTCAGTCACTTCCTGTGCTGTCACACTGCTTTGAATCCAGTGTTTTAGTAACTCCAGGGCTGCTGCCCGATGGCAGCTTTAACTCAGTAAATGCAATTACTTTCTTTTCTTTTTTTAATCCTGATGCACTGTTAATAAAAGAACCAGATGTTGTTCCTGCAGCTTCAGCTGCCCGTCCCGCGCCCCCGCCTTCTCTACCACACCTGCAGTGTCACTTATGGATGTGGCGTCCTGCAGCTGCTGGACTATCAGCGTCACCTGAAAGGACGTCTCATGCAGGACACGAGCAAAGTGTTGGAAGGAGAGAGTAAGGCTGAGGATGGGCAACTCTCAGTCTGTGCCTGGATTGAAATACCTTTTTTATCCACAAGTGTCCAAACGCCTACTGCAGATGTGTCCTCGTGTTCAGTAAGACTTTAAGTGTAGCGTTCAGTTTGTGTTGTTTGTCCGGCTCCTGAAAAGCTCGGAGAACTTTCAGTTTTATCACAAGATGTTGGAAACTGCACAGAAGGTAAACATTATTTTGTGATGCCAGGCTCATGATACAGCTGAGGCATGTTGTCTGTACAGAAACAGTCGCGTGTGCAGAGCGAGGCGTCTGAAACAGAAGTGAGCAGCTGCTCGTGGATGTGGGGCAGAAATGTGCATTTTTCTAAATACCGATTTGAACCTGTAAGCGTATGGGCTCACCATGTGAACCGCACTCATCATCTCTGTTCTTGCACTTCTTTTCCTCAGCTGCACGTCAGCTTCTTTCATCTGTCCTGATAGTTTAGCTCTCGTCTACATTCACATTCATTTCATGCAGAGTCTTTTGGCGCTGCTGCTTCATCTCCGTTTGGTGTTTAAGTGACCCGAACACAAAGATGAACTCAAAACACACCTGGAAAGGTCAAAGGTCGCCTTACCTGCAATCTGTCCTGTGCGCTGACTGGGCAGTTGGGGCTGGTCATGCCCAAGGAGGTAGAAGATGATGGGCTGTGGTCTGATGTTGAGAGGGAGTGGTCTGTGGGAGGTGGAGAGGAGAGGGAGGAGCCAGAAGGGCCCTGAGGCGGAGCCAATTTCTTCAGAGATGGGACGTTGGCGTAGATGGGCGACAGAGGGTCGGGCAAGCTTTGGTCCTATAGAGAGAGAGAGGATTTCTTCAACCACACCGTCAGACACAAAACAACACACTCTGAGTCGAAGCTGTGACATGTTCACGGCGTGGATTCGTCACAGTGTTTAGACCTCCTGCATGTGACATAACCCGACGACCGGCCGTGTCCTTCCTTCTTCATCTGGACGACAGAGCGCTCTGTGCTGCACGCCTCAGAGCCTCAAGTCATAAAACTACAGAACACAGAGAACTATGAGCCCATTTAAAGCCCACCCCCAACCATCACCCACACACGGCAGCATGGCGGTGATGTTATCATCCTGGTGGAGATCCAGCTTCATCCGCCTAACTTCCTCCTCAGAGTGAAAAGAATCATTGCAGAAAGCCGAAAATCTGTTTTTAATAAAGTTTACGGGGTTCCCACACCTCTGCAAGTCAGAGGAGCGCAGAGAAGACCACGGGTCCAAAGAGCGAGCGTTAGCAAAGAGCGAGCGTTAGCAGGGCTGCAGAGCGAGTCCTTACAGAGACGCTCAGAGCACGGCGACCCACCGAGGACGAGGTCCCCGCTAAACAAGCAGGAACCTGCTGGAGCGTCGGCCTCATTTACGGCAATCATCTGCTGCTGTACAGGAAGAGCTCCCCCCAGGGTTTATAAACAAACACACACACAGTGACTTGCAGTCATTTCCTGCAGACTTTCACTAAGCCTCAAGTCTGATCGAGGAAGAAGATCTGGATGTTTTCAGTCTTCAGGGAGTCGAGTCCACGTGGTGATGAAGACGTTTCACATCTCCACAACACCACAGATACACCGAGTTCTGATAAAACTCATCATCATCCTGAAGATGTTGGAGGTGATTCACCTTTGCCAAGATTTCCTCCTCTGAGCAGGGAGCAGACAGCTTCCTGTCACACTGAGGAGGCGAGTGTGGCCACAGGGAAACAAAGAAAGTGTTGCATTTCACTTCAGGTCACTTTCATTAAAGCCGCCGGGTACGACTCCGGTGAGGCTCCACTGCTCAGCAGGCATTCTCGTTATCATTAACTAAACTTTACTCATCATTAATGCTTGCAGACCGACCGGTCAGTGTGCTGGGCTTCGATGTTAAACACTGACTCATTATTACTGATGCATAGACTCACAGTTACATCCTGGCACTGATTTGACTCATTATACAAAATCCTTTTTACAGCTGTAAGAATATTTACGCACGAACTTGAGATGTGACGAGAAGAAGAAGATTTCCTGATGTAAATAGTCAAAGTACATCCTACTTGTGCTTGCACACAGCACGGCACAGGTGAAGCAGGAATACTCCACAGGAGGATTACTCGACGGGAGTAACCTGCACATTTAGTCATCACCACCGGTGACTGGGGCAGCCCTGCAGCCCTGCAGTGTTTATCGACTGCAGCGTCACGTTAACCTGAACAAATCTGCTCTCCTGCTTTACTGCGACATGCTCCGTCTGCTCTGAACCTGCAGCTGCACGGAGGGAAACAATGACAACATCTCTATCCAGCATCAAAGTTTAATGCAGCATGTCTGGACTTACCCATAATGCATCTGTGGTTGTTTCAGTATCACCAAAGTGTGTCCTGCATCAAACCTCACCAGGAACAAGTCAGAAAGTCTTCTAGACTCCGTTTGTGTTTAGACTGCACAGGCTGTAGCCCCACCCCCTCTGATTCAGTAGCCCCGCCCCCTGTGAAGGGCAGTGTGATCAGGAGTCAACGCTGCTGAGCCGGATCACTGTTCACCGACGTCATGAAACATTTTATGACTCCATAGATCAACTTTGACGACCACCTAATTTTCTTTCTGAGTCCTGGAATCACCTGGAATTCATCAAACTTCCTCAAGTTTCCTGGAATCTTCTAATGGACATTTCCCTCAAGTCCCTGGACTCTTATCACACTTCATAAATAAGTCTTGGAGTTTTTCTAAAGCTTCAATAAATCCAACGGCCAAATCTTCTAAAAGGATTCAGCAAACACTCCAAAAACACAGCTCAAACGTCCAAACCAGCAACGTTAAACGTTCTCCGGGACTCGAACAGCTGGAGCCTCTGCTTGGACTCCCCGTTTGTCCTGGGAGCGCTGTAACACTGCAGGTCCACAGGAAGCTGCAAATGGGCATTTGCTGCCTGCAGGAAGCAGCCTGCAGCTGTCTCACACTGCAGGAAACATGCAACTCAGAGTGTTGCAGTCCAGCAGCAGCTGTAAGCACACACACACTACACACACACACACACACAAACACACACACTACACACACTACACACACGCACAAACACACACACAAACACACACACACACACCACAAACACACTATACACACACACACACAAAACACAAACACACACACACACACACACACACACACACAGACACACACACACAAACACAGACACACACACACACACACACAACACACACACACACACACAAACACAACACACACACACAAACACACACACACACACACACAGCACAACTACACAAACACACACGCACACACACACACACACACACACAACCACAAACACACTATACACACTACACACACGCACAAACACACTACACACACACACACACACACACACACACACACACACACACATATGCACACACACAGAGTAAAAGCAGCCAATCAGGAGAGGCTGACTTTATGACTGCCCTTTAACCAGGATGCAGAGCTTTTATTTCTGCGACTGACAGGAAGCTGGCTGACTGATGACCACAGGAGCCGGTAAAGTCCTAACGGTGCAGTGTCACAGAAAAACATCTGGCTGCAGCTCATTTAGTGCAAACACAGCAGCGCGCTCAGCCGGCCACCTCACCTGGGACACACCTGGCTTCAGGACAGCCTATGAGGAGGAAACAGCTTCAAACACGAGATGACTCAATCTGTTCCATCCTCTGGGTAAACAAACCACCTGCTGAACAACATGAAAGCAAGACATCAACTGCTAAAGGTCAAAGGTCACCCAGAAAACAGCAGAGCTGCATTCTCGATGCTCCACTAGTCAGATAAGGAAGTCCCAGAGAGCTGATCATGTGGACGAGTTTCACTGAGACTCGTCAGACCGAAGACGCTGAAAACCTTTGAGTTCTGAAAGGAGCTGAAGGTCAGAAACACTCTGGCTGAACCCGCTCCATCTCCACGCACCAACAGCTGATTTACGGCCTGCTGCCACCCACCTTTACTGAGGCTACGTCCCCCGCCCACACTGAGACGGCATTTTGGGTCAAGGAAAACGCAGCATGGTGAAAACGCTCCTCAAAGCAGAAACATTTGAAAACGCCGTTTTCGCAGTGTGGACAGCGAACCCGGAGACTTTTCGAAAACGATGACACATTTCAGTCATATGATGCAGTCATGTGACCAATTAAACCAAGATAGCTGAGGGCAGTACAGCAGTTGTTTTGTTTGCAGTTTTGACAGCCCTGTTAAAGATTACAGTCGTTGCCCGTTGCTTGAACACTATAAAGCCATGCTTAGACTAAAGTAACACAACTTGAAGCTTTTGTTACCAGACCTCAAACACATGTACCCATACCTTAAACAAAAGTGCTGCTTTGCACTCTGGTTGCAATTATGCAACACACTTACTCCTTTATGCAACACACATGGTCCTGCATGCTACACTCCATTTCATACATAAGACACTTCGTTCAAAAATGAAATTTCAGGGTGCCATTTGGAAAACACATGTATCCAAAATACAAAACACATCGGGTAATTGCAACCACGCAATACACACCTGAAGGCACTAACTTGCAAAACTGAACACCAATTAGCCAACTACAAAAAGCCCTCAGTTCAGCCAATTCAAGAACTTTTCAAGCATGGATGGAGGGAGAGCAAGAGGAAGAGGAGGAGGAGGAGGCCATGCACGGACCCATATTTCCGATGATATAAGAGCAACTTTGGTGGACCATGTCATCAACCACGGCCTGACTATGAGGGAAGCTGGGCAGAGAGTCCACCCACATCCGAGCTGCTTCACAGTGGCATCTGTAATAAGAACATTCAGACTTAATGAGTGTACGTGATGTGTTGGTTGTATGTTTGTTGTTTGTTTTGACATACTGCGAATCAATTTCCCATCAGGGACAATAAAGTTACCATTGACCATTGAGAAAGCAGGTCTGTCTTCACCTCTCTGCCTTCTACTCTACTCAGATGGTTTTCATAGCACTGTTCTACAGTTACCATATCAAGTGTGCAGGGTATTGCAGGGTGCTAATGCTCCTTTTGCAGCCAAAGTGGTAGTTTCTGTGAAACATACCATGATTACTTATATTGAAGTACAGTGTTGTACAGTGGATGATACAGTATATACAGTAAAGTACTGTAAGACAAATAAGCAAAGCGATGACAGCATGTGGTTGTATTTCTCTAGAATGACTCGAAGACCTTCTGGGGCAGGACGCCAACGCCTGTTCACACAACAGCAGGAACTCACCGTTGTGGACCTAGTGAGGGCAGACAATGCCATCCGTCTCCACCAGCTACGAAAGCAAATACTTGCAGACAGGCAAGTGTTCAACAACATAAACCATGTGAGCATCACCACCATCAGACGCATCTTGGGAAAACACAGCATCACCATGAAGCAGCTCTACAGAGTCCCATTTGAGAGGAACAGTGACCGGGTCAAAGGACTTCGAGCTGAATATGTACGGGTACGTGTAACTGTCCTTTACATGACAATGCAGTATTGGTGAAATCCAGCAGCAGCTGAATATGTACCATATCAGTACCACATGGATCCATCCTGAGAGCTACACAGGTACCTGTGTGATGGGTGAGGGTCCTGTATGTGTAGCACTGTAGTACAGTAATATGTTCTCTTTGTTTTACAGAGAATCTCAGCCATGGATGGAGCTGCACAGCCTCATGAATTCATTTTCATTGATGAAGCTGGATTCGACCTGTGCGAAACAAGACGACGGGGTTGTAATGTAATTGGCCAAAGGGCAATTGTGCACGTCCCAGGGCAGCGCGGGGGAAACATCACATTATGTGCCGCCATATGCCTTCGAGGACTTCTGCATCATCATGCAAAACTAGGTCCATACAATAGCCAACATATACTCACATTTCTAGATGCTCTCCATGATATAGTTGTACAGAACAGACCAGATCAGCCGAGGTTTGTGGTGATATGGGATGATGTCAGTTTCCAACTGCTGCTCTGGTCCAGGCCTGGTTCTCCAACCACAGCCAACTTGAAGTGGTATACTTGCCCCCTTACTCACCATTTTTAAACCCTATAGAGGATTTTTTTCGGCTTGGAGATGGTGTGTATATGACCGCCAACCACATGCCTGCATGCCTCTTTTGCAATGGAACAGGCCTGCGGCGACATTGAGGTGACAGCGATCCATGGATGGTTTCGACATGCAAGAGGGTATTTCCCCCGGTGCCCAGCGGGAGAAGACACTGCTTGCGATGTCGATGAGGTCCTGTGGCCAGACCCCAACAGACGGCAGGATCCATGAGCCCACGTATGCACAATTGTCATGATGTTTTGTGTGTACAGTATAGTGTTTTTTCTATTACTGTATTATGGTGTTTGTTTGTTTTTTTGCTTTATCTGAATTCATGGTGCTGCAGTGGACAATACTGAGTAGGCCTATTTGCTTTTTTGGTTGTTTGTGTCTCCTGAAAATATGCCTTCTGCATAAACAATGGAAATCAAAGACTGCAGTGTTTTATATAAAGTAGACTAGTGTGTCCCCCTGATCTGTAAGTGTTTGCATGTGATGCAGGTATGTGTCATTTTGTCAACAGAGTTACATTTTGTCAAAGGAATGTTAGGTTTTGAGAGCAGAGTTTCCATTTGGCACAGATGTGAACGGTATATTTCCCGGTGTTGTGTCTTTTTTACTTGTGTTTAGAGTTTTGGCACAATGAGCGAAGTTTTGCAAAATGTGTTCAAGCAACGGGCAAAAACTGTAATATCAGTTGAGCCGCCAGCTCATCTTTAAACCCAAGCAGCAGAAAAAAGTTCAAACTCTGAAAACTCAAAACGTTTGCTTTAAAGGCAACGCCCACACTTGATCTTCATCGTTACCTGCTGACATCAGAAAGCAATGCGAGGAGTCGGATGGTCACAGAGGTAAGAAGCAGCTGCTGCTCATCAAACACAGAAACTGACGGCGCTAACGTGACGTTGAACATGATTTGAACTCCCCTGAGGGTAATGACTAGGACTGGGTATTGATTATCGATTTATCGATTAAAATCGATTCTAGCTTGGATAACGTGATATCGATTCATTAAAATCCTGAATCGATTTTTAAATATAAATTTATTTTGCCCGAAACGCCAGAATCTCAGGTTAAACCTCACAAAATTTCAACAACCACCAAACATTTTAAACAGTAACTGAGAGCAGGAACAGGCTTCTGCACAGAGACGTGAACACAAAGCTCGACCTGCCGACGCATCAGGATCAGTGAGCTGTGACTTTCTCACCCGACGATCTACTGCAGAATATTCTTATAAAATCTCAGGCCAGGAAAATCTTTTTCTGTTTTAACCTCACGTACTTTGACACAAAGGCCTCTGCTGTGATGCTCACACCGTTGATAAAGTCTCACAAGTGTCAGCTTTCTTTTAATAGATATAAAAAATGGAAATGTACTGATGCATGATCTGAATTATAATATTTCTGACTGAGGCAAAATTTCCCCGATTCAAAGTGAATCGATTCTAGAAATCAGTGACGATACGCAGCCCTGGTTAAAACCTCAGAATCACTTCTTTTATTCCAGTATTTCCACCTTAAACCTGTCTCTGCATCTAATTTATTTATCTAATTTATCTAATTTAAACCCTGAGTGTCCACAGCTCGTGTGCTCAGATCACAGCAGCTGGTCTACCTGCTCCATGACTGAAGAGCAGACACACCCACTTCACCACACACTCACTGTTGTAATTACACGTCAGCGAGGAGCTCACAGCCGGAGCAAGCAAGCAGACTTTTACTAAGTAAAGCAGCTGAGCGATGCTGCAGCGTTCAGCGCTGTCGCCTCACAGCACCAAAGTCCGGGGTTCAACTCCAGTATCTGGGCGGTTTCCTCCAAACACGTGCAGTCAGTGTCTATGTGTTAGACTGGAGACCTGTCCAGGTGTACCTCTCACCCTGTGACAGCTGGGAGAGGCTCCACCCCCCTATCACTGAACTGGATAACCAAAAGAAAACGCATGGACGGATGATTAAAGCAGCTGAACGGCATGCTGGGTAGGAGGTGCTCTGTCTGCTGTAATGCAGCGTGATTTAACCTTGACTGAAGACTGTTTTCACCTGCAGGTGTCGCTGCAGCGTCATCCTCTCGCAGTTTCCTGTCCGACCCTGAACACATCCTGCCAGCTGTGACATCACTATAGACCCTGAACCGTGGAAAAGCTCCCCTCAGTAACCCTGACCGCACAAATGTCTGCTCTCTGTAGGTTTTAAGCAACTTGAGTTCAATGAAATTATTTTATACAAATAATACAAAGTTAAACTACACAAATATTTAAAAAACAGTAAATTATTAAATTTAAAACCAAAAGAAAGAAACATTAAGATCACAACTAACAAAAGCAGTAAACAAAAAATAGTTTTAAACTAAATCTTTAAACTAAGTTTTCTTAAGCTTCGGTGGGTCTGGAGGTCAAAGGTCAGCAGTTTGTTTCTGGTATGCTGAGAATTAAAAGAGGAACTGGCCTTTTCTTTTCCTCCAAAACTTGTTTCCTGTGTGGAAACTGCAGGAAATGACACGCTGCACAGGACTTTTATTTTGGAGGACTCTGTAACATGTTCTTCTTTAACCGTTCCTGAACACTTATTTTTGCCTTTGTGCCATTTTACCAATCATTTCAATAAAAGTAAAGTCCAGGTGTTGTAAAAAGATATTTGATTACATTAAAGTCAACAATCAGAGACTTTATCAAAGGGTCATTTTCATAGTCTGGGGACTTACCTGTGTGGGAGGTGGGGCTGGTGCAGCCTCAGGTGTTGCAGGCTCGACCTGTGCTGCAGGGCTCGCTCTCGCTCCGACCAGAGCCTCCAGGTCCAGGTTCAGGTCCTGGATGGACTCGTAGATGTGGTGTGAATCCTCGCCCTTCACTGAGTCCCGCCCCTCCTCACCGCTCTCCTCCACGCTCTCCTCCACGCTTGCTTCTTCCTCTGCCAGCTCCTCCTCATCTGACTCTATTGGAGACTCGTGGCCATCCGGACGTCCTGCTGGGGATGAGGACATGTTGTGGAGGCTGCTGTGGGGCGGGATCACTGGTGTCTCTACCCGGATGGGCTGGGCTTGGGGCCGGGGCACTGAGAGGGGGTCTGCCGGACTGAAGCTGGGAACGCGAGGTTTCCCGGCGTCCCTGGCGTCCTCCACGTAGCCTGACAGGTGGGGCGGCTTCTTGCCATCGGCGGAGTTTGCAGTTCTGTTGTTTGCTGTTGACCCGGGCTCTGCAGGACCAGCAGGGGCCCCAGGTAGCCGAGGTGCCGCATCTTGGAAGTCGAGCGGGACGCCAAATGTAGACATCCGATTTTCATTTTTGTGGTGCCTTTTGACCGCATCGGGTGTGAGTCTGATGGTCATGTCATCACTTGGTTTGGTTCTGGACTCTTCTAGAGGCTTTGGGATGGGGACAGGCACCGCCACAGGGATTGGAGTCACGACAGGCAGCACCAGTTCGGGACTGGGAGGATCAGCAAAGTCCAGAGGAGAGGGTAACTCCAACGGCAGCTCTTTAACGTACTTGGCCGGAATGTAAAAGGGCTTGGAGCTGCGATCCTCCTGGACCTGCCACCAGTGGTTGTTGGTCTTCGCCAGGAGGATGTAGCGCTCATTGGGTTTGATTGTGACCAGCGCCCCATCCCGACCCTCGTACTCGTACCCAAATTCCACCAGAACCAGACCCAGACCTGAAAGAAAGGATCAGACAGAGGAACAGAAAAGTTTCAAGAGGCTGAATGTGATGACACAACGGGCCACAGATTTTAACCCAACCTTCTCAAAGCTGCTGTGTTCAGTTTTTGAGGTCAAAATGAGGTCCGGTTCACTTCCTTCTGAAGCTATATGTAGTTTTAAAGAAGGCAGACGAGCTGGTCACGAGCAGGGAGATGGCAGTAATGTGAAGCACATGTGCTCATGTGCTGTGACTGTGAACATGCAGACGCGCCAGAGCAGCGCCATCGAACGCTCCTCTACAGCTTCATCAGGTCTTAATGTGGTGATTTCATCCAATCAGAGTCTAAATAAGCTGGAGTTCACCTGCAACAGTAGGGTCACTCACCTTTACTCTGCAAGGAGGACGTTGCTGCCATTTTGACAACCCTGGGCTTTTCAGGCCCCGCCCCCTCAGGAAGATCTAATCTGAAGGTAACTGGTCAAAGATCACTCCTGATCCTACACCCCCGTCCTAAAGGAAAAAACAAACAAACACACAAAATAAAAACAATGCCTAGCAAACAGACAAAGATACAAACACACCTACACGAGTATTTTTGAACACGCAGCTGTTTCGTTCACACATAAACGGCGTTTCGAATCACTGAAAACGGAGATTTTTTAAAACTCCTTTTTTGTGTTTACGTGTGGACGAGGAATACAGAGTTCGTCACGCAATGTCAAAGGTATGTGCCTTTTTTCACGTCACGCTGTGGCCACGTTATTGTTTACATGAGATGAATTGCAGAATGACAGAGAGACAAAATACTGTTAACCTGACTGTCTGCAGGTTTTACACGCTTACATACACGCGGTTACTGTCCCTCCATTTACAAAGGCAGAGGCGTCACGGTGTCATTATTTTAC